AGACAGGCACTGAAGATAAATACAATTATTTTCACTAGTGTGCTAACACCAGCTGGGTGACAAGATAACAGTCCTTGGGGCTTGGTTGGTTTAAAGCCAGATCCCGATTTCAAAAAAGGCAAAACCAGCACAACAAAATAGGGTTTGAACAATGCCAGATTCTGTTCGTGCTGATTGGCAGAAGAAAGTGTTTAAGAGAGGGTTCAGTAAGGGAATCCTGAACTGGCCACTCCATGCTTAGGAGTAAGAGTTTTATTGTAGATAGGAGAGAGAGAGAGAGAGAGAGAGAGAGAGAGAGAGAGAGAGAGAGAGAGAGAGAGAGAAGCAGACTTGCACTAATGGATGGACTGACTGAGCAGCTGTAACCTTGTGGGAGGGGCTAACTGAGGAGGCTGAGGTCAGCTTGCTGCTGGAACAGTAAGCTGTCTGATAAAGCTAGGGCCTGGCAGAAGATGAGCCCCACCGTAAAAGCTATCAAGACATGTGAGACATTTAAATTTGAACAGGAAGTATAGACCAAGTGAACTCTGCATCATTGAACACGACAGAGACTTATATGATACTTGAACAGTTAACCTTGGATTCTCCATGGCAAACTCTATGGCAGAGGCCTCAGGGAACCATCTGTCTATCTCTATGGCTTTGTTGGGGACAGAGGTCTCAAGGTGCCATCTGTCTGTGCCACCAGATACAGAAGATTTGAGAGATTTTCCTGTGGAGAAAGGATTTGGGGGACTGACACCCCTTGATAAGGCAATCAGCCCAATAGTGTCTGCAGCTGGAGGAAGGTCCTGGCAGCTGGCGAGGCTTTATCCAGTAGTCAGTATTTCTACACTTGAAACAATCTCTGGGTTGAGTCAACAGCTGTCCCATCTTCTTTGGAGATAGCCACAGGACTGCTTCTTTGGAGATGGCTGCTGCCAGAGCTGGTATTTTTGTCTGTGTGAGAAACCCTTTTCTTTAAACACCTTAAATACCAGGTTCATCAGGGTTTGAGGACCATCATCTAATTTATTAAGTATACCGGATTTTAAACAAACTTTGTTTTCAGGTTTTAGCACCAGATAAGTGAGGGCTCAGTGAAACCATTGAACTGGACTGCTCCGTGGGCGCGGGGTGAGAGAAGACAAGTTCATTTAGGGAAATTCAAAGCTTCCAGGGCTCTCTCTTGGGGGCAGAGTGAGTGAGAGAGAGGGGGGAAGACAGACAGAGACAGAGAGAGGCAGAGAGAGAGGGAGAGAGAGAGAAAGAGAGAGAGAGGGAGGGAGGGGAGAGACAGAGAGAGACAGACAGAGATAGAGAGAGGGAGAGAAAGAGAAAGGGAGAGAGGGAGGGAGAGTCACACACAGAGAGGGAGAGAGACAGACAGAGAAACACAGAGAGAGGGAGAGAGACAGAGACAGACAGAGAAAGGGAGAGAGGGAGGGAGAGACACAGAGAGAGGGAGAGAGACAGACAGAGACAGAGAGACAGAGAGAGACACAGAGAGAGAGTGTAGCAAAAGTGGTGGCATACACAGGGCAGGCGGTGGGTCTTTCCACTTATAAGGGTTATACTGCAGAGGTTGGAAGGTAAGACACAGCCGGTGCTAGCATTAGGCTTTGGTCTGTTGGAAGCTTGTTTAAGTTAATAGAAACTGGATAATGCCCTTTCCAGAGGTGGGGCATTCTAGGGTTGTATAAGAAAGTAATGGCTTTTCCTGGACAGCAGAAACCCACTTTATGAGATTTCTGAGGAATGCTATGTTTAGCAGTTCAGAGTCCTGGTAAGCTCTGAGCTGAGGCCAGACTGCCATCTTGGACTGAGTCAGTGGGCCTGCCCTTGTGGGGTGCTTAAGGATTTTCTATTTGGACGTAACAGAAAGTAGAATAGAAATGAAAAGGAAAGACATATCATTTCTGGAATATTTAAAAAGACTCAAGAAGAATTCCCATGAAACTTTATATATTAGAAAAAAAGAGTCTAAGTCAATAGCCACACCTCCTACTCTAAGAGACTAGATACAAAGGAATAAAAAAAAAATCTGAAAGTTAATAAGTGTATAATAGGTCTCAGCCTTAGTGTTTTCAGTGGGACCACAGCCTTGCCAAAATCCTGATTATGGACTTTGGTCTTCATAATCATGAGACAATACATTTCTTTTTAAATTTAAACCATCCAGCTTTTGGCATTTGATTTTTGCAGGCCAAACCAATATATAAAAATAGGGCTGGTGAGATCAAAATACTACTATTTCTACTATAACATCAATTATAAGTAGATTTTTACAGACAAGTCTGGAACTAAAATTGGATAAAGGAATGTGAAACATCTATACAAACTTTATTTACAAATAATGTTATTAAAATCAGTTCTATGCAATACAATTTCGATGGGAGATGTCATTCTGTAAATATGTTTCTCATATTGGTTAATGAATAAAGCACTGTTGGCCAATAGGAAAGCAAGATAAGCAGGGCTAGGAGACAAGGAGGAGAGAGGAAGTAGTAAGGAGGAGTCATCATGGGGAGACTGGAGAAAGCAAAGCACCAGCTTGCTCTCTGGTAAGATGAGACCACGTGGAAGTACTTAGATTAATAGAAATGGGTTCATATGTAAGACAAAGCTAGCTGATAAGAAACTAGTACTGGCCAACAGCTTAATATCAAATACAGTGTCTCTGTGTGTTATTTGGGGCTGGCGTGACAGTGGGTCCAGGCTGGCAGGGAAAACCTACTTGTAACAAATTTCAATATAGATTTTTTTCAAAAATTGATTATTTTTCATACAATGTATCCCAATTATGGTTTCCTCTCCTTCCATGTCTCCAAGTTTCTCCCCAGCTCTCCTCCAATCTGGATCTACTCTGTTTCTGTCTCTTATTAGAAAACACACAGGTTTCTAAGGGATACTAATAAAATAAAATAAGTTAAGAAAAAAAGCAAACACACTGGGATAGGATAAAACTAATAAACAGAAGGAAAACCACCCAAGAAAAGGCACAAGAAACAGCTGTATATCCAGAGATCCGTTTGTTCTCATCCAGGAGTCCCATAAAACCACAAAACTGGAAGCCAGAATGTATATGCAAAAGACCAGTAGGGTTAAAAAGAGAGAGAGAAAATAAAATAAAAAAATGATAAAATTTAGAAAAAGGAAAATGCCCAACATGACGTTATGAGGTAAAGATTCTCCGAAGATGATGTTGAGTTCATTTTCCATTGGCTATCTAAAGCTGAGCTTGTGTCCTACCCTTAAGAGTAGTTGCTTCCCCGGTGAGACTACCCTGGAGAAACCTAATATTCATTTGCAAGTTTTATTAATCAGCAATAGCTTTGGGTGAGGGATAGGAGCATGTGTGTCTATTTCTCCTTTCAAATCTAGGACCTCCCCCCAAACCTCGTAGAGATCTGTGTAGGCCCTGTGCATGCTGCCTCTGACTGTATGTTCACACGTGTGTTGGTTTTCCTGTGTTTGCAAGGCCTTGTTTCTTTGGTGTCCTCTGTCCCCTCTGCTGCTTACACTCTTTCTTCCTCCTCTTCTTCAGGGTTCTCTGAGCCCTAAAGGGGGAGTTTTGATAGAGACATCCCATTTAAAGCTGAGTGTTCAGAGGTCTCCTAGTTTTAGATCATTGTCTGTCTGTGGGTCTCTGTGTTCCCATCTGCTGCAAGAGGAAGCTTCTCTGAATCTCCATGTAGTATTTTATAAATTAAGGCATTGGAATAACCTTAAACTTTGAGAAAACTGAATACATCTAGATGTTTTCTCTTCACCAGAATTTAAAAGTAACCCTTCTAGCTTTATGTCGTTTGTAGGCTCAGTTTATTGTTCCTCTCTGGAAAACTGTCAATACCTTTTAGAATAATTGTTTCAACCGCCTATGTTTTGTTCAGTTTCATGCATTCCTATTAGTTCACACACACACACACACACACACACACACACACTTTTTACTTTTGAAAAATGGTCTCACATATGTACTACTAGCTATCATGGAACTATGTAGACCAGGCTCACAGAAATCTGCCTGTCTCTGCCTCCGACCAGCTGAGATTAAAGAAATACACAATCAAGAACCTACCAAAAATAGATTTTTTTTTTTTTTTTTTAAAACTGGGCCAGCTCTCTGGGTCTCCCACCTCCCACCCAGCCACCCAGCACCATTCTGTTGAGAATTCTTGTTTGCCCTTATTTCAGTAATTTTTTTTTTTTTGTGGCATATACAACTTATACGTGTTAACTCTTGATTCAAACCTTCAAAACATTCTGACCTTATTTTTATCACTGAATTAAGGTCTTATCGTTGAATACTTAATCCTTCCATATATCTTTTCACCACCCGTTTGTCCATTTCACGAGTAGGCATTTTTAAAATTCCTTAGCTTTCCCCTTTCACTACTTTGCAAACGAGTAAAAACCTTAATTTTCTACGGTATGATTGATGCAACTTGATAGCAGTTATTGAAAACAATCTACGCTTTTATTTTTTTATTTTACTCATTTGTTTTGGTTTTTCAAGACAGGGTTTAGCCGTGTAGCCTCTGACTGTCTTGGCACTCACTCTGTAGACAATGCTGGCCTTGAACTCACAGAGATCCTCCTGTCTCTGCCTCGCGAGTGCTAGGAGTAAAGGTGTGCGCCTCCACCCGGGGCTCAACACACTTTTATAAAAAAACAAAAAAAAAACCCAAAACAAAACCAAAAAACACAAAGCAAACAAAAAACAAAAAAACTCAACATATCCTAGCAAAGCGTACAAGCACTAAGCAAAGTTTCAAAGCACGAATTGAAAGCTGCGCGTTCGTGACGTCATCTCCGCGCGCCTCCCTCCAGGGCCAATCGCCTGGCGCGTAGCCTGGCGCGGAAGAAACTCCGGAGCCGGAGCGTGTTCCGGCGCGGGCTCGCAGCTTCCGGCGCGCCGTCCCGGGCGGTGCGAGCGCGCAGGCGCCCTGGCCCCCGCCGGCTTCTCCCGGTTTCAGTGGTTAGCCGTGGGTCCGGAGCCGCCTTGAGGCGGGGCTGGGCCTCGGCGGCGGCCAATGGCGCCGCGGTCGAGGGTTGGGAGGTGGGAGGTGCTGGCCCGCCTGCCGTGCGCGGCTCGTCCGGCGCGTGTGCCCGGCCGCCCGCTCGTCATGGAGGAGGTCCTGGCGGAAGAGCTGGACGATGAGGAGCAGCTGGTGAGAAGGCATCGCAAGGAGAAGAAGGAGCTGCAAGGTGACGGCAGGGCAGAGGGCTGGGATCTAAAGTCCCCCCCCCCCCCCAGGGCTGGGAGCCTGGCGCGTGACCCCGAGGGCCGGGAGGGCCGACCGCCTGCAGCCCGCAGGGCTCCGGTCCCCGCTGATGACTTGGTGTGGCCTCCCCTGCTCGCCCCGGCGCCCGCTCGCAGTCCTCGCAGTGTCCCCGAGCCGGCGCTGCGCTTGTGCTGGTGATGTCCCTGGAGGCCAAGGGCCCGGTCCTTCCCATTCCTGCCCGGCTCCTGACACTGGACCTTAGTGGTGTGGTCCGGATTGCTTCACGTTGTCCTGACAGTCACAGAAGAGATAGTTGAGAGGCGGAAGCTGTGTAATTTACAGTTTAATGATAGTTTTTTTTTTCTTTTTAAACTTTATTTTGCTCTCTCGAACCAAACAAATTCAAGGTTGTGTTTAGAAGGTGTATGTTGGATCTCAAGCCTCATCCGGGCCTTTCTCTGTAGCTGATTGTTGTGTCATGATTAATTGCTTCTATAATTACATTACATTCTGTCATTACTCCTCTTGACGACTTACTCCTGCTTCTTCGCGCTCTCTCTCTCCCTGGGGCTCTGACATGATGGTTTTGGTGACCTTTTAGCCAAAATTCAGGGAATGAAGAACGCTGTTCCCAAAAATGACAAAAAGAGGAGGAAGCAACTGACTGAAGATGTAGCTAAGTTGGAGCGAGAGATGGAACAGAAACACAGGGAGGAGCTGGAGCATTTGCAGCTGACTTTGAAGGAAAATAAGGTATGGGTAATAACGCGCGTTTCCGAGCCTTTGGAAACCGCCGGCTGAGCTTGTTGATCTGCTTACTGGGTATAGTCACAAAATTGGAAGTGAAGTCAAGTCATGCAGCCATACCCACACATCACATTTCAGCATTACTGTCTTTTGAGACAAAGTGTCATTAGTTTGGGCTGCCACCCATCTGGGTTTGTAGCACAGGATAAACTAGAACTTAAGATCTTACAAGTGCTGGGATTACAGGCATTCACCACCACACCTAGCTTTCCATTTCCTCTGTATTTTGGGACCAGGTTTGTTATTATTTTTATTGCCTTTTTTTTTTTTTTTTTTTTTTAAAGGGAGATGAGCAAAGAAGTACCTCCTTACTTAACCCAGTGATGAATGTGTAAAGTATAAAGTGTGCTAGAAAAGGTTTCTTTGGCATGAAAGCTGGAAGACTAGACTGCTTTTCAAGGATTACTGATGAATAAGATGTAACCTCTGAAAAGTTACTTAAGCAATCCAAGAGTAAATTTCTCCACATATGATGTGGCGACAGTTGCTTTTGTGTATGGTTCCTACGAAAAACAAATGGGATGACAAATGTGAAATCACAATGAAGTTATAAGAAGTGCCTTGTGAGCCAGTTGGAATGGATGAAGTGTTAGAGATGCTTCTTGTGTAAATGGAAGTAGATAACATGCATCTTTTCAGTGTACCATCCACCTAGTGGTGTATGCCAGCCACTTTATTCACTGTGTGGTCTCTAATACTTCATTTAGTTGTCAGTAGTTCTGTACAATAATACCTGCAATCACACTTTTCCAGCAGGAAATTTACTTAGAGAGATTAAGATCTTTGTCCTGAAGTCATAATAGCTATTGACTGCCAAAAGCTAGAATTCAAAACTAGGCCCTCAGTTGGGGCAGTGGGTGGCACACATCTTTAATCCCAGAACTTGGGAGGCAGAGGCAGTTGGATCTGAGTTCAAGGCCAGTCTGGTCTAGAGAGTGAGTTCCAGGATAGCCAGGGCTACACAGAGAGACCCTTTCTCAAAAACCAACCAACCAAACAAAGACAAACCAGGCTATCCATATACTTTTGTGTAATACAGTAATTTGTCATGTGGGTTTTGAATATGAAGTCATGTATTCTACAACTTCAGCTGTTAGGAATTTTTTAGTTCTATGCAGTATCTCATCTTTTGTAAGTTTTCATTCACTTTTGTTCTGTTGACAAGGGAAGAGTTTCTGGATGCTCATTTATATTAAATATAGTGTCAAGGATTTTAATTTCATTACCCAACCATCATGTTCATGGCCTTCCTTACTGTTAAAATACATTTATCTCCAGCCTGGCATGGTGATACATGTAGTCCCAACACTCAGGAGGCAAAAACAGAGAGGTTGTGAGTTTGAGGCCAGCCTGAGCTTCATAGCAAGACCCTTATCTCAAAACCTAACAACAGTAACAGAAAAGAAAGTGACAAACTTATTTTTTCGGGAATGCCAGTATGGCTCACCAGGGAAGGGGTGCTTGCTGTTAAGCCTGATCATCCAAGTTTTGTCCCTAGAACTACATGGAAGAAAGAGAAAACTGACTCCCCTAAGTTGTCCTCTGATCCTCATATGCTGTTTTGACACAATTGCACATATACACATAAGTGTTCAGTCATATCAGTATTGTGCTGTTCCTAATTGTCTCCCTGTGTTTTCTAGGAGCAGGATGTTTGGATTGCTCTCTTAGGCTTTTAATTTCACGATTTCCAAAGAGAAAGAAAAGTTTGATTCTTAATCAGTCATCACTTACCTGCTAAGATGCAGATTCTCTAGTCTTCCTTGTCTTTTTCATCTTAAACTTGTTTCCTTCTTAGTCTCTCCATTAGTCCTAATTCTGCTTTCTTGTCAATATGGTGTGAATTTTGGCAGGAAAAAAAAAATACAGAAGAATAGATTCAATGAAGTTGTTAAACTTCTTGATAATTTTATCGCTTGGGACATAGTCTTTGGAGACTTTTGCATCTGTTGCAGCTTCAAGCTTCATACTAAAAACTAGCTTGACATAGAGTAATGAGGTACTAGCTGTTTATCCAAGTAGAAGGCTAAAGTTTTTCTTTAACAATGTTAACATTTTAATTTTAGGGCTTATTGTAATTGTTAATGAAGTTTTCAGTTCGTAGCTAGGAGAATATAGAAATTGCTCATTTGTTCTAGCCTCAAGAGTTAGTGCTCGATGAAGGCTCTAGGATGGCATATAAAGTAGTTGTTGATCTCATTATTGTGGAAGGGCATTTAAGGTAGCCTCTCTTCTTTTGCTTAGATATTTCTGGGCTGACCTGAACAAGGGGAGCTCGTGAACCCCAGTCTGATAGCTAGGAAACCAGCATAGGAGCGGCCCAGACTCCCTGAATGTGGGTGTTAGTTAGGAGGACTGGGCAGTCTATGGGGTCTCTGGTAATGGATCAGTATTTATCCCTAATATACGAATGGACTTTGGGAGCCTATCACATATAGAGGGATACTTTCTCAGCCTAGACACCTGGTGGAGGGCCTGGGCCCTACCCCGAATGATATGGCAGACATTGGAGACTCTACATGGAAATCCTCACTCTCCCTGGGGAGCAGAAAAGGGATAGGCTGGGGTTTGTTGGGGGTGATATGGGAGGATGGGAGGGTGAAGGAACTGGGATTGACATGTAAAACAACCTTGTTTCAAATTTAAATAAAAAAAAAAAAAGAAAAGAATTAGTGTCATTAAGTTTTGTCTAATTAACATGGGAAAGTGACTCTGGAGTCACTTTTAAGAGCATGAAGGTAGTGATGAGCACAAACTGTATTTTATTTGTCAGCATTCAGGAGCAAGACAGGTCCCCTGAAATGCAAGTAAGGTAGGTAGAATAATGGAGTAGGTTCACAAGGAGTTTAAGTATGCAGCGATGAGTCTTGTCTTTGGAGAGCTATGAAACACCTTGGCAATTACACAAATTCATCCATGGAAGTAGAAAAAGGTGACCTAACCATATTATCTAATACTCTGTCTAGTGCTGCTGTTCAAACTGCAAATTAGGGATTAGAAATATCCTTACTTTTCAGTAATAATTTAGTTGCCCAACATTTTCAGTAAGTTTAGCATTGTTTTATTAATTTCTTTCTTTTAATGTTTTTCTTTCAGATAGACTCTGTTGCTGTTGACATTTCAGACTTGGTGCTTGAGACTCAACCACCTCGGATTTCAAAAGCACAAAAGAGACGGGTATGAAAGTCATATCACCAATACTTCCTTTGGTATTGTGTAAGAAAATATTAAAAAAAAAAAATTGGAGTTCCTTGCCTAGGGACCTGAACTAATGTCTAATAAGGGCTTGTTATATATCAGATACCATTCTAAACAACAAAAAATAAGATGTCTAGTTTGCAGTTCTTATAGGAAGTGGGGAGGCAAAGGACTGTTTTTTTCTTAGAAGAATATAATATTGTAAGCTTAATACATGACCAATGCACAACCCTGTTTAAAAATTAGTGCTGGGGGCTGGAAAGATGACTCGTGGACAAGCGCTCAGACCACTCTTAAGTAACCTTAGTTTGGTTCCCAGCTCCTTTGTGGGGCTGCTCACAGTTATCTACAACTCCAGCTCCAGGGTGATGTCTCTGGTCTCCATGGGAACCTGCACTTACATTCACATATGCACCCATACACAAATAAATAGATGTAATTAAAAAATATTTAAAAACAGTTAGTGCTCAGGGGTAAAGTGAAGGCTTGAACTTAGAAGTACAGTAGAACAGTAGAGACCCAGAGTGCTTAGAGAATTATATTGGTATTTATATAATAGTTAGTTACACTAAAAATTCAGAGAAGGGAAACTTCATTATGTCAGCTGTTAATGCTGTGTCATAATTTGAAGGAAAGATAAATGTTTAGACAAGATATTCTACACAGGAGAAATAACATAATAAAAACAAATGTGCGAATGAGATACAGCATTAGGTTTATTGGAAAGAATGTGTCAATGATAATGGTGTGAGGTGGGTAAGCCCATTTCACTTTCTAAAAGGAAATTTAAAAGTCATATTTTGGTTGTGAATACTGTGTTACTAATTCTTCATGTCTGCTAATGTCTAAGTGCTGCGTGTTTCATAGTATTTTTAAGTACATGATAGAGTAGAGCATGGAAGTTTGGTGTCAGTTTGTGCCTTTTCAGTGTCAGGCAGGGCCATAGCTTGCTCCCCAACCCCAGGTAGGGTTGCATTTCACTGACGCTCATGCGTTTGTATTCATTTTCCATAGTAGGTAGGAGGAAATACCACCTGTGTCATAGGACTATTATGGATATTAAAATAATAAACTGGCCAGGGCTGTTAATACAGGGCCTCGAGAACGCAAGAATCAACAAATGGTAAGAACATTTACCATTTTAAGTGTATCATATTCCTCTTAAAAAGTGAGGCCCTGTCTCTTTCTGTATGAAAGCTATGTTGCAGATAGTCAAATATTTAGCATGCTTATATGGATTTGACTCTTGACTAATATTACCAGTGTGACTTTGAAAGAATCGTTTAGAGCTCATGCTGTCTTGAAGGGCTGCTCTAATTCAACTCCTTATTTTGGCTGCCATTCTTTTTGCCATGGCCCCACAGTTGTCACTTTTCCTCTGTACGTCATAACAGGTGTTTTGTGTGCCGTTAACATTACAATTCTAAAAAATTATTTGCATTTAGTAATTGCTTCATTTAATGTTATCCTGTTTATTTCTGAAATCTAAGGCTGTATCTGCTCTGTTGATCAATACCTGTTTATTGTTACGTAGATCTATCTTCCTTAGAAGTTTGTTACTTCTATCTGAAATTAACACATTTTCAAACTATGAAAAATTTAGTAATATTTATAGTCTACTGCTTTATCACTTGGCAGTTTTTTAATCTAGTGGGCTTTTGGAGCAGAGAACACTAAACGTTCATAATGCTTAATAGAATGGAACCTGAATTCAGGATGGGCAAATTTGACATTACGTTATTAAAGCACCAAGGAAGGATTAAGGAGCCAGGTAACTACTGGTGGTCGTTTTTGGTAGAGAAACAATTCTGGAAGAAAAGCATGGCAATTTTGTGGTGATTTATCATAAGACTCTTGAAGTGTGTTACTTTTAATTTGGAGACATGTGGGAGCATTTTATTAAGCACAGGAATTTTTGTCTAGCTCAGTGGATAAAGTAGCTTACTGCCTGGCCCTGGAAACCACATGGTAGAAGCAGAGAATCAACTGCTTCAACTCCCCCAACTCCAAATAAGGTAGACGTAAAATAATGGATTTCCAAAAATAAGGAACTTGAGAGGTAGAGTGACATTCAGTTTCTCTTTTTACAAATGACAAAGATGAGAGGGATAGTTTAATACAGACCTGGACTAGTGTCCAGATCAACGTGACTCTACCTGTGCTGGCCATGTGTGTGAGTTCATGCTCCTGTCTTCCATCTGTGTGTTTTTTTTTTTAAAATCAACTTTATTACCAGTCTGTCTGTAGTATTTTCTTTGTAGAAGAGTACCTAATGTTGGAAACTCCTACAGAGACAAGCCAATGGATTTCCCACATGATTTACTGAAAGTAAATGCATTTGTTTTTTAGTTATGAAGATCATTAGGCAAGAAAAGGTATACTTAGAGATTAGTATTTAAGAGACTTACAGGCTTGGAAGATAGAATGGAGTTCCATCCTGTCAGTAAAAAGAGTGAATGACCAGTTCACTTGAGAGGGGCTTTTGGGGTGACAGCTTGTGCTCTAGGTGTGGAGACTCGGCTGGAAAACCCTTTCTCCATGCCCAGCATTTTGTGAAGTCGGCTTGCTGTCCTGCACACTACATTTCTGTTTATGTTTGGAGAAATCAATTGCAGGGGTGTCTTTCCCTTCTCTCCCCTGGAGATGTTATAGGCAGTAAAAGTGTCCAAATTTGTGAGAAATCGGAATAATCAAGATTTACCTGTATGGAATGCTATTAACAACAGTGATTCACAACAGAATACCTTTCACCTGGGACACTCAGGGTCCGTTAACAGATTTAAAGAAATGTGTATGACATTATCTCCAGCCGCCATCTGCTCCAACCTTTACTCTGATCCAGGTGCCTGCACAGAAGGAGCTCTGTGTGTTGTCCCCAGTCCCCTGCCCTAACCAGCTGCATGGCCTTGGGAAATCTTTCTGCGAGCTGTTTCCTCAGAAGAGGAAAACCAGGGCTTTGGATTAGATGATGCCTAAGGTGCTTACTCTTTCTCTCCCCTCTGAAACTGGGTTTAGTCTTTTATAAAGTAATAGTGCCACCTTGTGTTTTAAGATTTATAGTCAGATGCAGTTGTAGTTAGCAGTGAGGTAAACCATGCTGCTTTTCTCGTGCTTCAGGCTGGAAGGAAAACCCTGTGCTGCTCCATGTTTTGTTAGCGAGCTCTTACTGCTCTTGTTTGATTCAGGTTCTTAAACCCACAGAAGAGCATTTGCAGTTCCCTCACGTGACACATCATGGCATTAATTCAGGGTATTGAATTGTGCCTTCCTGCTCTGCCCCAGGGGGAATAAAGTTAGACCATGAAAGTCCTTAGCATTTGTTAAAATTGCTTTACCATTTTCTTCCCTCTATAATTTACTAAATCAATATTTTTAGGGGCTTGAAAGATGGCTTATTGGCTAAGAGCACTGGTTGCTCTTCATGAGGACCTGGAACTTAACAATCATCTGTGACTTTAGTTCTTGGGATCTGACACACACACACACACACACACACACACACACACTCATCTATAACTTTAGTTCTGGGGATCTCTCTCACACACATTCATCTATATTTTTACTTCTAGGGATCTCTGTCTGTCTGTCTCACAACCCCCCCCCCCTTTTCTGGTTTCTGGGAACTGCGTGCACTTGGACCATAGGCATACATAGGACTAAGTACTAATATTATACAATACAGTAAGGTAAAACTTGCCAAGGTTTAGGGAGTTTTTATTTTTTTATTTTTTCTCTTGAAGGCAGTGGCTGAGATTAGAAAGTTGTAAAAGCGCAATGATAACCCAACAACAACACTGTTCTACCATCCAGAAAGAACTACAAATGTTGTGATAGTACTATATTATCACAAACAATATTTATTAATGGGTGACTTGTCTTTAGCCAGCATCCTCATCTCTTAATGCTGTTTTTCTCTTATGTGCTAGTTATGTGAATTGTTTTTAGCTATGAAGCATGGGTGTTCTCTAGCTTGTGATTCTTACTAGTTCAGCTATTGGGGATGTTTTCCTTTGTGGTCCCCCCACCCCCCATTTCCCACTGCACTCACTAACAAATCTCTTTTGACTCCACTGAACCCTGCAAATGTTTGGAGATTCAGTCTTGGGAAAAATCTCAAGAATTCCTATTTCCTTGTTTAAGTAAGAAAGCAAATTATACTATATAAAGAATAATGCCATTTTTGTTACAAAGGATATGCTTTTTCTGTAATTGTAATTGTGCTTATTACAGTGCATAGAAGAAAAATCTGGGAGGATATGTATCCAGAGGATTTAGAAGGATTGTAGTCTACTGTAACACTTGAATTATATGTAAGCATGTAAGCAGCTTTAAAAAAATCTGTTATTAACTATATGCATAGGTGTTATCCACTTGAAAACAGATCATAGTAGTATCTGTACCCTTCTGGTGGTTTTAACATAATGAATCCATTGTGGCAGAGTGATATAAACTTGGGTTTGTTTAGGGTTAAGTATGATCCTGTACTTTAAGGCTAGGACAGTTGAATCTTTTCAATATTTTTGATAGTCTTATTCTGTAGTGCTGGCTGTACAGAAATTCACTGTGTAGACCAGGCTGACCTCAAACTCGCAGAGATCTGCGTGCCTCTGGTTCCCAAGTGCTGGGATTAAAGGCCTGGTCCGTAATGCTCAGGACAACTGAATCCTAAGACAGTACTTTGAAATCAGCTAGTCAAGTTGTTGACATGTTTTTAAATAGACTTTATGAGGACAGTTGTAGTTACAAATGCCAGTAATCCTAACTTTTGGAGGATGGAGAGTATAGGCTAGCCTAGCTACCATAGCAAGACAGTGCCGCACATAAGCAAACAAGCACATTTCATATGAAGGTCTCATTTCCTTTACCCTCTCCCTCCCCCTTGCTTCTCTAGTCCTTTCCCCTCCCACACCCTTCCTTTTGTTTTGTTTTTCGACAGGCTCTCACATTGCAGGCCAGGCTGGACTGGAACTCAGTAGCCCAAGCTGTCCTCAAACATGTCTCCCTATTCCACTGCACCTGACTATAAGAAGAGGTTTTTTTTATATATGCTGGTACAGAGTGAGGTGCAGGAAACATAGGGGCCAGATGAACGGGTTAATTTTCCTTTAATGGTTGTAGTAAGAAAGTTCTAAAATAGTGAGGTGATCAAAATGACAGTGCTTGTGGGTGAAGGAAAAATTTCAAAATGTGCATTAACCCTAATTATTATCATTTAACTTTCCTATATGCTTGTCCTAGGAAAAAAAGGCTGCGTTGGAGAAGGAGCGGGAAGAAAGAATAGCTGAGGCTGAAATTGAGAACTTAGCTGGAGCCAGACATGTAGAGAGTGAAAAACTTGCTCAGATATTAGCAGCCAGAGAATTGGAAATTAAGCATATTCCATCTGATGGCCATTGTATGTATGGAGCGCTTGAAGATCAGCTGAGAGATCAGGACTGTGCTCTGACTGTGGCTGCCCTGCGGAAGCAGACTGCTGAGTACATGCAGAGCCATTCCGAAGACTTCCTGCCGTTTTTAACCAACCCCAACACAGGAAACATGTATACTCCAGGTAGTGTAGTTTCCTTCACTACTGTTTGTTAGTGCTTCTGGTTTTGTAATAAATGCTTCCTGGGTATAGCATGTAAGACTTTCTTTGTTATGAAGAATAGATCATTAAAATGTAGGCAAAATTATTTTCCTATAATTGAGATAGATGCAGATATATTTTATCTTTCAAGTACTTAATTTTATAGTTAGAATATATTAATTGCTATACTTAAGTCATTAAGAATATAAGACAGGAATAGGATTAGTCATTATTGAAAGTTATGTGTTAATTCCTGTTTAACAAAGCTAGAAGGAGGTGAGTTTTGATCAGTGTTTGTAAGTATGTAGGTGTAGGGCTCTAAGACCATGAACAAGCAATGATTGTGAAAAGTAACTTAATCAAACTCAGGTAAGGATAATGTCATTTCAATAAGCTGTAGCTAGGAAGGTTATTAGTTAAGTAAAATTTGATTTCACAACTTCATGAGCAATAGTCTTCCTTTTTTATTAAAATAAATAGGTAATTAAGGAACAGTTTTTTATGATAAAGTTTAAAAAAAGCTCACAAATTGCAACAACAACAACAAAAGCACAATTTGCAAACAAGGGTGAGACCAAGTCAAAATCTGAAAGGGCTTCAGAGATGTTAAGAATAAGAAATTGTAAGGAAGATTATAGGTATGGCAATTTCCACTGGGAGTGGGTCATGTGCCCAGGAGGGGCTGGGGAATGCACGGTACAGGCTGACTTTCTTAAATGGAGTCTGCCTTCCATGAAGAAGTAGAACATAGCACATAATGGACAGAATGAGCATAGGCAATTGAATTGGTTGCTTGTGGTGATTGAGGCATGTGTTAGGGGATAGATCTCAAGTGTGACGGCATATACCAGAATTCTTAATTTGTCTATACACCACTACTAGTGGTAGATCATTTAATTGATGTATCAAAAAGACAAAATTTTAGTTCATTCAGTAAGTTTTTATTGAAGGGCATGGTATTTATTCTAGATGAAGACTTTAATACAAAAGAAATTAACATATGGGGTATATTTGTCTTTTAGTTACCATGGCTTTTCTTGCCTTCCTTGGATAGGAAGGATGTTCGGCCTCATTTTATGTGTGTGGATGTTTTGTCTACATATATGTCTGTGCACCATCTATGAGCCTATGTCCTTGGAGACTGGAAGAGGATATCAGATCATTTGTAACTGGAATTACAGACAGATGTGAGCCTCTGGAAGAGCAGGCAGCAAATGCTGTTACCTACTGAGCCATTTCTCCATTTCATATTTAGCAAAACCATTTTAATGTGCTGCATTTGAAAGTATGTGTACAGTAATATGCCTATTGTAAGCTCAGAGGTTAGGTTTTTTACTTTTTCAGAGATTCAGAAAAATCTCTTCCCTTTATTAGAAGTGACATTGATACAAATCATTTAAAGCTGTATGAAATGTCAAGCCGAGGGACTATGTGCTGCTCCCCTGGGCTGACCAAACTCATTTGTAGTTTCACTCTATAGGCCCTAACAGTGAGCCTAACTATAGAAAGGCCACATAGTTTAACCTTGTCTGTCTGTGATTTTGGCTTTAAAACACTTGTGAGAACAGTGAATTTGTTGACATTCTTAGGCGTTGCATCTGATGAGGAGAGAAGTCAGTCAATTATGGGGACCTCTGGGTCCCAGGTTGAAGGTGAGAAGTAGAAATGCTTTGCTCTTGGATTGAGAAAAGGTGGAAAGTTGGGTGGCTGTGTTTAATGTACTTGTGGGGAGTAGATTACATTTTAATAGGAGGTGATACAGAAGGGAGATGTTCTCATCAAGGATTGTGAAATTATAAAATTTCTGATGTATTCTCTACAGAGGAGTTTGGAAAATACTGTGATGATATTGTTAACACAGCGGCGTGGGGAGGTCAGCTTGAGGTAAGTTTGTGAGTTCATAGCGCTTGTGGGTGTTAATTGTAGTTTTCACAGTTTTTTCAGCTAAACCCAGGTTCTCTTTGAAGATGCCTTTTTCTTTCTACATTTGCCGTTTCTCTGATGACAAAGAAATAGAGAGCTGCACACTCTTTTGCCTGGGAGTAAGTGAAGCACGATTTCTTCTTAGTAGCCCAGTGTTGGATTTGGACTTACAGAAGCTGCTGTTTTTTGAGGCAGGGTTTCCTGGTGCAGTAACTAGCTCTTGTAGACCAGGCTGATTTCAAACTCACAGACAATCAAACGCCTCTCCCTCCCAAGTGCTGGGATAAAGGCGTGTGTCATTACTGCTGGATGTTTCCAGCAGTAATCTGGATGTTTTCATGTATGATGCTTCTACAGCCAATCTGTTTGATTTTTCTGTATCTTTAAAAAAAAAAAAAAAAAGTGAAAACAGTCAAATGAAGACTCAATGTGGCGGTACACACCTGTGGTACTAGCAGTCAAGAGGCAGTGCTGGATGCTGGCCTAGGGTATGTAAGGAGAGACCCTGCTTAAAAACAAATGAAACAAAAGAAAAATGGTAGATTTTATTCCATGAAAGTGAATTTTAATCTAGTAGATCAGTGTTGGAAAAATAACTTCCTCTTTACATCAGACATAGACATGAACCAGGGTCAGACTTATTACATGCCTGTAATCCCATTACTATGGAGGCTGAGGCCAAAGGATGAAGAGTTTAGATCAGCCTAGGGTATGCAAAATGAAAATGTTATTTCATATAAAACTTACCGTAACACATTTGTTATAATTATCTGTTGAATTCCTGTGTGTTACTGTATTGCTTGAAGGCAATAAATAGATGCATTAATACTGTTAAGAAGATAGTATAGTCACACACACAGAGAAACTTAACATGACTTTCTTGAGCTCCAATTTTAAAATTTGCTGTTAACCTCTCTTAACTACAACAAAATACTCAGTTAGGCCTGGTTGCAGTCTGAGGTGGTTGAGAAAGGAAGAAGAGGCAACTTCTAGGCTCATTTTCAGACTTTTCCTTTGTGCCTTGAATGAGCCATCCTGCCTCTTGACCACTAGTTTTAAAATGATTCAGTAATACCCCTTGTACTTAGTCAAATGCTGTGACATTAAGGTAGGGAGTATAGGACACACAAGAGTTGTGAACTAAGATGATAAATGAATGACTCTAGCAGTGCTAATATTATATGAAGGTGGCGTCTTCAGTAGTCTATGCCTCTGAAGACCTTTAAACTGTTGTTTGGAGATGTAAATATTCCTTTGCGGTCATTTTTTAATAGACTGCTATAGTTGGACCTCTCCACCAGAGGGAACTGTCCCCATTAGTTTTGTCTCCTGACTCAGACACTCGACAATTGCTCCACTAGCTTTGTTATGGCAGGGATGAAGAGACTTGAGCAGGAATAAAGGTTCATGAAGGAATATGATGGCATTGGAGACTTAATTCTGTTAAATTGAGATAATTTAATGAGACAGTTGTTAAAAACATCTGGAAGGATATTTGCTCATTCGTTGCTTGTGAATTCCTTTAAGTACAAATTGTTTTCATAGTGGGAAAAATATATTTTATAAAACCAAAGCCAAGAAAATATGAATGTGTGTGTTCACATGAGTGCCACAGCACACTTACTGCAGTTAGAGGAAACCTTTTCAGGAGCTGATGCTCTCCTTTCACCACGTGCATCAAACTCTGGGTAGTGGCAAGGCCTCAACCAAGTATGTCATTTCATTGGCCCTATTATATGACTTTTTGAAGACATTGCTTTGCACACTATTCTGTGCTGGTTAAAAAAAAGTAAGACTAATGTGTTTCAAGGGACTATTTTGTAAAAGAATATGGGGATTTTATTTTTTTCATGTAGCATATAATCCTTTTCATATTCATGAAGTAATTTTTAACATTCATTGCAAACCTCATAAAGGTTCTATGTTCTTGGTGTAACTTTTGTAATTGGGCAGATCTATAAATTCGCAATCCATGTTGGAAGACTGGCAGTAATGGATTTGGGTATGAATTCCGGTTCAAGAATCAGTCAGCTTCCTCAGTCAAACAGGGTCACTTAATTTTCTGTTTGACCCAGAGAAGTCTTTTTAGTATCTTTCTACTTCACATTCTAGGTGTTAACAAAATAACAGTCAAGTGGGTGTGGTGGCTTGTACTTGTAACTCTAGTACTTGGGAGGCAGAGGCAGGAGGACCTCTGCAAGTTGAAGCCATCCTTATTTACTTGCAAGTTCTCAACTAGCTGGGCCACAGAGACAAACAGATAAGCCCCCCCCTTCACCTCCCCCCAACAAAACCCAAACTGAAACCAACTCGTCAGTATTTGTTCCATGAAGTTAGGAAGACTGGATGAATTAATTCACTCACATAAAAGTATATACGTGAGTGTAGTGCTTAGTTATAGTATGTTAGAGGCCATTAGCATTACTTTACTAGTGGTTATTATTTATTAGGCTTTAAGGTCTAAGGTTATAAAATTAACATAGTACAGCATGCTGACCAGATGGAGATCCCATCACGGGCCAGAGTAATTCATATACATACCTTGTTCTTACTGCTGACTGCATCCAGTGTCATCTGAGAAGCTTTTAAAAGGAGCCTCGTGTTTTGCCAGATCCTAGTCCCTGTCCGCTGGCCAGTAATGGTTTTTGGTCTGATGCTTAGCCACTAGTATTTAAAAATTGTATCATGACAAATGGAATGTTTTCAAACCCAGAGACTGTTAACAGTAATCACAGTCTACCCTTCACCCATTTCCCCAAGCTTGACGTTAGTATTTTTGCCAAGCTATTCTTTGTCCAAGGCTTGAGAAACTTCTGCCTTTGATGTAGTCTTTTAGTTACTTACGCATTTATTTACTTTTGATTTTTTTTTTCATCAATTCAGCAAATACTGAATATTTACCCTACCCGCTTGAACTCCTGGTACTGTTGTGAACAGAGTGAGCACATCTTTGTTCTGACTTGCCACCGTGTTCTGTGGATGAACATAGTACTTGTGATTTGAATAAGGTTTTCAATTTTGTTTTTCTTGCTAATTCATTTTTTCCCCCTATAGCTAAGAGCTTTGTCTCACATCTTACAAACACCAATCGAGATACTACAAGCAGATGCTCCTCCTATTGTAGTTGGTGAAGAGTATTCAAAGAATCCTTTAATTCTAGTGTAAGTACCTAGGAAGGTTTACTATTTTATTTTTCATAATTAAGACAAAAAGGAATGTGTAAAGATTTTGGGTTGTACATACTAACTAATCAAAGTGCTAAAGGCAATCAGAAACAATCAGAAATAGCATGATTATGTGATTTACATAATCACTTAGACTATTGTTTGTTTGTTTGTATGAGCTAAGAAGAGAGTCCTTTCAAAAGGCTGTAAAATTTCAGGCTAGTTTTGTGTGTTTGTTGCCCACATTGACATTAATTAAGTTTTAATTAGCACAAAATGTATTTGCATGATTGAGAATTGGCACCTCAAACTCAATATGGAGCGCTTATTTCTCTAGGTTTTTTTTTTTTTTTTTTTTTTTTTTGGTGTGTGTGTATGTGTGTACGTGTGTGTTTATTAGCTATTATCATTGAACTTTACTGAATCTTTGAGCTCATTAAGCCATTAGTATCTCAGCCTTTGCTCCTTTAGTGATTATTGGATGATTTGCTAACATTTGTGACATGATGTTGAACTCGTAATGAATATGCTCATATTGTCAATTAATGATAGCTCTGTGGATTGGGACTTCAAGGTGTGCTTAGTTATATATGTCTGTATGCTGTATACATTTCCATGTAGTAAATACCTCCTCAAAATGACTTATGTTTCTCTTTTTCCATTTCAGATACATGAGGCATGCATATGGCTTAGGAGAACATTATAATTCTGTCACACGGTTGGTGAACTCAGCTACTGAAAATTGCAGCTAGTTTACAAAATGTTACACTATATTTTATAGAGTGTGTCAGTCTGCATATTCCTACCAAGTGCTAGATTGTTGTAAATGCTACTGAAGAACACAGCTACCTTATGTCAGATTTACAAATAAGCTTACCAACAGGCTTTTTAGAAATATATTGGATTAACTTTAACCAATGCCCTCCTTAGTGGCATTCTTAGAATTTAGAGTCTATTGTGGACACATTGTTCCAAGATGTTAACACTTCTCACTAATGAGTTTTAGTTATCCTGGACATTCTGATTTTGAATAAATATTGTGTTAAATTTTGGTCCCACAACTTTATATCCCTAAACTGAGTATTTTGATGTAATTTTTTAAAAGTACGGATACTCTGTCTTGATAGGAACACATAGTGTCAGCAAGTTTGTTATAAAATGAGCTCAGTCACAGTAACTTTGGTATTGCTAGGATCAGCAAGGGGAAGCTTATTATGTAGCACATCTCTGCAGCCAAGGAGGAACTATTTTTAGGAAACAATACTTATATGAGAATCAGTTATGTTCAAAGAAATGAGACAAAATCAGTGGTGTTCATTGTGTGAGTTTCATTCCTTTTTACAAGTGGAGATTGTCCTTTTCTGTGTGTATAGCTTTTAAAAGACCAACTTCAGCATTGCTGTTTTTTCAGTTTGAGGCTGGAGTTACTTTGTGTCTTTATTTCTCTTCACAACTAAGAATTTTTACATTTTCTCCAACACTTGTCAGATGCTTTGCTTTCCCTAGAGCCTTTCTCTGCTGAGAAATATCCAGTGGCCTCTGGATTCAAAGAAAGCCATGGCAGCAGATTATTTTGTTACATACTGTATCACTTTTACATTCAAATGTTTAATTATTGTACTATATATGTACATATAGGTAAAGTTAAAGGCCACTGTTCAGGAGCGAGAGCTGAAAATGAGTTCAGCACACTTTTCAGGGGAGTGATTTATGTAACCTGGATTTCATACCACTTCAACTGTTCTTTGTAAGAGAGTTGTGCCCACATGCACTCTTGTGTCCACTATGTTTACGTAGTGAAGTGTCATGGGATGGCGACACAGCTCTAGTAGCGCACTAGCTTATGCATGAGGCTTGAGGTTCACTCTCTAGCACCAACAAAAACACCAATTTCATGAAAGTGAAACTTTTTGGTTTGATCTGGTTTTTTTCCAAGTTAGAAATATAATAAGGTTGAGCATCACGTTGATAATATTTGGGCTTTTGGTTCATGTATACTGTCTATGAGTAAATAATGGGCTTATGATGTTACAAATAGGTAACACTGGCGAGATGGTAGAGACTGGTCAGTAGAGCAAGTCAGGACTTTTGAGATCATTCTAGCACACTGAAACATCCTCTGCCCCCTGTACAGTGTGTTCTAAAGGGTGCCTGCCTTGTAACTTCTGATCTTTCTTTTTTTTCTCTCTGAAATTTACAAAAGAATGAAGTTGTAAATTGAATGCTTTTGAGTTTATTTTGAAGTAATATTATCTTCATGTTAAAATATCACATTGAGGATGAAATATGAAACTTAGTTATAGCAAATTACATTTTCAACAAAGATAGTCTAACATAACTCATTAATGTTTTGTTTTGACAAGAATTTAAGTGTATTCAATTATGTGTTTCTGTTTTTTTGTGTATGTTTTATTTTAAAATGGCCAGTATATTTATGAATAAAGTGAACGGCCAATGTCTACCTTCTTTAAACGAAAAGAAAATAAGTCTTTGAAGAATGCAGATGTTAATTTAAAAACATGCGAATTAGTTTTGTTGCTGCTGCTGCTGCTGGTATAATGGGAATCCCATGAGCTTTCTTTAGTCCTGATTGGAAACGTGTATGTCAAAATTCTAGAATTTGTCTTTTGCCAAGAATTTTATCCACTTACATATGTTTATAGCCTGTAAAAAGTAAAACACAGAATGTGTAACTGTTATGAGCAAGATAGCTTTGCTCATGTTATCTGATGTTTGCCAAAAGAATAAATGATAAAGGAGTTGAATCAACATGTATTATGTTCACATTGTCAGTTTCTTAACAGTTTCAGAATTTAGAACTCATTTTGCTTTAGAACTTTATCCAGTTAAGCTACTATTGCAGGTGAGGTGGAGGCTTAGGACATGTTGGTCAATGGAGGTTTACTTTGGATCAGTAAATTCTAAAAACGTTGTAGATTCATGAGTGTTTTTTTTTAAAAAAAGGATTCACATTCATAAGAAATGATTAATAAGAAAATTCCTAAACACGGGAGTCAGTAAGGGACACATGTGTGCCAGGTGGTGTCTCAAATTGCTCCCTGCATACAACTGCTAGTACCCTGTCATGGTCCAGTTGGCATGAACCAGTGGAGGAGCAAGTCAGCTGATTGTGGAGAACGGGACTGGTGGTTTCCTGACTTTCTCTTTAGCTTTTAATGTTAGTTGAGCAAATGTGTTTCTTCTGTTTGTTTGATGCATTTATTCTGTCCTGATGTAAGTCTTATTTAAAATTCTTTTTTCTCCATCTGTAAACTCTGTTATCATCAGTTCTTTCCCTTGGATCCACTCTTGTTTTTTCTGACTGAACACTCACCCCAGCTCTCCTCACTCAACACTTCACCGGCTTCACCAGCTTTCCTCAGTTAAATGGACCCTCCTTTGGCACGTGTCCCCAGACCTTTACACCCAGGTTGGCTACTGTTTGATTCTTTAGTGATTCTTTCTTGTGCATACACTCTGAGAACTAGTTATTTGCATTTGTTTATTTCTCTCTACTTTATGTGCTTAGAAACAACTTCTTGCTAGCTAGCTTACTAAATAAATGCTTGCCAAGTGTCTTTGGATATCAGTTGAGAGAATCTGAGAAGTTGCTGTTGGGACTGATTGGCAGCTGTGAGTAAACAGAATATAAAATCGTGTTTGCTTACAAAAGGACTGCTTTCTACTTTACCTTTCCATATGCCTTTTGGTCATTCGAAGGGGAGAAAGGAACAACTGAGAGCATTTTGGTTTTGCCTTTTTCAGGTGTCCTTAACCTGAAAATTCCAAAACCGAATTGTTCCAAAATTTCACACTTTGAGCTTTGACACCTTAAGTAGGAAAAGCTACCCCATTAAAATTTAGGTTCTATGCACAAATACTTTAAAAAATATTATACAAAATTACTTGGACCATGGAAGGTCTGTGTGATAGATATGAAGCATAGATGAATTTCATACTTATATACGTGACTCATTTTGAAGTTGGTCATGTGTAGGTGGAAAGTCTGTAAGAACCTGATGTCCAAAATTTCAAATAAAGAAGCCTCATCTTGTAGCATGTAACCATTACTTCATCAATGAAGACAATGCCCGATTTTAATGAATCTTCAAAATAGAAGGAGTTTATAGATCAAATAATTATTCCAAACTTTATTGATAGACTTTATTGATAGGTCTATAGGGGCCAGCGAGGTGTCTCAGTGGTGAAAGTGCTTACCACCAAATCTGAAGACATGAGTTTGAGCTCTGTATTTCACATGGTAGAAGGAAACCGTGGTCTCCATAGGTTGTCCTGGCTTCCTGTGTGCTGCACAAAGTTTATAATTCTTTTATTTAAGCATGGTTAGGATGACCAGTATGACTTACTGAAATACATCATTGCCTTTCTAGAATGCTGATGATAGCTAAATTAGGATCGTTTACAAATCAGTCTCTTGTGATTTCTGTATCACCCTTGTTTATGAGTTCAGTCAACACAGTGATGCCATGGGGATGAATAGGAACCCTAGAGTATGGGTTTTTAAGAGATAGAATAACCTTTAATCGTGTGGACCGCTCCCTCACTGAAATTCTCAGCCCTTTGCGCTACCTCCATGGGCTCTATTCTGGTCCTAGCCCTCTTCTGGTCATTTTCAGGGTATTATCCATGACTTTCTCAGACTGCTTTAAAACTCTTGGAGTTGGTGTGTTGCATGCAGCAGAGTTACAGTTTGTTTGGCCCATGTAGTGATTCAATTTTCTTTAAAAGAAGAATTAGTCGATAGTTTAAAAACAGGGAGATTTCACTTAGACATTCTTGCTTTTACCTTTTCAAGATAAAAACTAGAAGAGTTGTTGATGCCAACCCAGGGTTTCCTTCTGGCAGCCTTTGGTGGGAACCCGGGGTGGCAGCGATGCTCTGTAGGGGGACAGGCAATCTGCTTGGCGTCTGCTAATTTGTGTTCTTGTCTCAGACATGCCCAGTGTCCAAGCCACAGTCTTGGTGTTCCTGTAAACCATTTCCTTCTTAGCTTATTTTGTTTTGTTTGTTCTTCTTAATTGAACTTCATCTTGGTTTTAGCTCAGTGCCCTATTTTCTGCTCCCTGCCCCTTATTGGCTATTTCCTTCTGATTTGTATGTTTTTAATATTTGGTGGAAAAATACGTGTTTCTATTTGTATGTTTTTTAAATAGATTTTTGAGTAGTTTATCTAAATAGATGGTAATTAAATTGCTTCTCTGGAATCTGGTTTTATTGGCAAAATAACAGCACTCAGTATAAGTTGGAAAGCTTTTGTGATGCTTTTCTGAGCTTAAGGAAAGTTGTTTAAAGGTTATATTCTTTATCATAGGAGCTAAAACTCCTTTATTTATGAAGCTGTGCTGCACATACCAGAGGATGAAGTTTAAAAATAACCTTAGCATAAAGAGTGCATAATTCTGTATTTCTCCTCTGTGACTTGGTCTTAAATTTTATGAAGTGCTAATAGAGATCCTATCTTCTAACACGTATAAAGTTATTTATGTGTCATTTCTGACAGGTCTTCACTCAGTTATCTAAGAAATATGATGAAGTAGTGATAGATACAGAAGTGGATAACTGGGTGTGGTGGTATGTGCCTTTAATACCAGGACTCAGGAGGCTGAGTTCAAGGCCAGCCTGGTCTTCATAGATAGTTCTAGAACAGTCAGGGCTACACAGTAAGACCCCCATCTAAACAAAAGGGAAGAATAAGGAAAAGGATTTTGTCCCATGGATGGCAGCAGGGAGGCAGATACTGGATGTAGTGTACATATGTTAACACCTGTGGTGTGCATATGTCAGCCTGAGCAGTGCTTACATTTCAATCCTTGTTTAAATAATAGTGGAGATCTTAATTCAGTTGTGTATGTGAGACTGCATAAAAGCAAATAGAACTACTATTGAACACTCACTTTATGCCAGGAGCTGGCAAAAGAGTTTATGTGCATGGGCTTGTTCATGCCTCAGAATGCAGGGTTTGCTGTTTTCATCCGTTATAAAGATGATAGGATGAGACTTGAAGAGACATGAGTTACTTGCATATGCCACATGGTTAGTCATCAGTAAGGTTCTTAGTGGAAAGCAGGCCTGTGGCTGTCCAAGGCCCTAACATCAAACCTTCTATTTCCATAGCTACTTTAAAAAGTGAACCAAAAGAAACCGATGCCATTTATTACAGGACAGAGAATTCATACAGCAGTTTTAAGTTAATGAAGCATCTGCTGGTTTGAAAACTTCTGCCCAAAGTCCTAGACCACACTTTAATCACAAAATAAGCTTGCCAAAACAAGTCAAGGAAACACATTGGTTTCTTCTGTAATCTGTATTTATGAACTCCTGGTTTTTCAGGCACTTTCCTGGCTTTCAAAAATCTGTCAATTTGTCACAAGGGCCTTTGTTAAGACTAGAATTATTCAGGTACTTTGGTATCACCGAGTTTTTTCTAAGTGCAACAAGCCTTCTCTGTATTAGTGAAATAGATGACTGATTTCACTTTAAGGTCCTTGATATCCTAGGATATATAATTTAGCATTCTCACCCTACTTTGTACTTCCGAAGTCATTTGTATCATTAGTTAGCCATTTCCCATGTGTCTCTGTGTAATAGACTTGTATTCTATTCTGTCTTGTTTCATTGATGAGAAAGGAGATAGATCTGGTTTGACTGACTTGGCACAGTTCACACAATAAGTTGTTAACTCTGGTCTTGATTAGCATCCAGCTTTAGCTTCTTGGTCCTGTCCTGGGTTTCCAGGCTGGTGATTTAAAAAGCTGATGATTTTTCAATTTTCTTGCCAAACGGTTTGATTTCTGCTTGCTGGGAAAGCTTCTAATGCCAGCATTCCATGAGGCTCTGCAGTGGGCAGTTCAGCAACCCTCTCATTTGCAGCTGCCCACACATGGTGGTGTAGTACTGAAGGTATAGGTCCAAACTAAAAAAATCTGAAAAAGTGAACTCTACGCCTTTTTAAATCCCATTTCCTAGCTTTCTAATGTCTATAAACCTAGACTTTCCTCAGCTGTTCTAACTTGTCATATAGCATAGAACACTTCTCCCTCTACATACCTGCTAAGAGCATTCTTCCTGCCAGCCTGATCCCACAGCTGTGTCCGCCCCAAACGAACACACAGACGCTATATTAATATGACACTGTTGGCCGTTGACTAGGGCTTCTTATTGGCTAACTCTCGTAATTATTAACCCATAACTATGAATCTATGTATTTCTACATGGTCTTATCTTACTGGACGCCTCACTCATGGCCTCTCTTCCCGGGATTACATGATAACTCCTCTCTGCCTATATTTCCCAGAATCCTCCCCATCTCCTAGACCTGCCTGTCTCGCTGCCCTATTGGCCACAGTGTTTTAGTCATCATCCAATAAGAGAAACATGTATAGCAGGCATCCCCATCACCCTTTCCCTTTGTACCCTAAATTGTTTTCCAATGTTCCTGCAAAAGACCAGTGCAGTCAGTCTTACCCACATCTATAACCTTAATTCTCAGCTCCCCCTTCTGTCTCTTTCAGCCCATGGAGGGCTGAAAGCAACAGTGCTAGACTGTGCTTTATGTTTTGAGCAGTGCCTGGGTAGTCTCTTGATGCTTTAAATTTGGGGACCCTCATTTTTCTTTGTTCACCTAATTTTTTTTCCTTGCCTGTTTTTCTTTTTTTTTTTTTTTTGAGACATGCTATGTGTAATAACTCTGGCTGTCCCGGAACTTGATCTGTAGAGCAGGCTGTCCTGGAACTCAGCAGAGATCCTCTTGCCTCTGCCTCTTGAGTGCTGGGATTACAGGCATGCACCAGCACTGCCAAAGTCCGGCTGCTCGTCTAAGCTTTATTAGCATACAGTGAGTGCCTGCTCTGTCTGTTGTGCTATTAGGGATTGCCATTCAGGTGTGACTTGGTATTTAATGGCAAGGGGGAAATTGGAAGAGAACAAAAAATAGAAGGTATAACCTGCTAAGTGAAGTTTAAAGTCTGCTTTATGGAAGCGATTCCGCTTGGTACAAAGGTTTCCTAGGCAAAACGAAAAGTATGAGCAAAGGGGTAAGTGTGCTTGATGCCCTTGCAAGTCGTTTCCAAAGGGCTGTAAAAGGGATGGCCTGTTATGTACATTTGTAGTTTGTTAGTGGGGATATTTTATGTCAGATGTACAGATTTTTATCACAGAAAGGTAGTTGATGCTGGGGTTATAGCACCATGGTAGAGTGTTTGCCTACTATGTGGGGAACCTTGGGCTCAGTCCTCAGCAAGAAAGAAGAAAAGGAGACAGATGTGTACTGGCAGTGGTAGCTTTATGAGACAGTGTGTAGTGCAAACATAAAGCAGTCTGGTTGAGAAGCTATGTGACTTCTGATATTGGCATTAGGAGCAGAAGCAGGCAGGTGGGGCATGATAGGGTAGGTTTGTCTGAATCACTTTAGCAAAGCTAAGATGCTAGCACAGACTCCTGTGCAGTTTTAGGCCAGTTCTGGCTATAAGCCATTACACACACAATTTAGAAGTCTGAAGTTACAGCTTGGAAAACAGTACAGTTGTTGCAAGGGTGTTATGGTTCATCTTTAGTGTTAACTTGGGAGATTTAGAACTACCTTAGAGTCATACTTCTGGACATGTCTGTGAGGATGTTTCTAGAGAGGATTAATGGAGGGACAAGGCCTGTCCTCTATGTGGGTTGCACCTTAAATTACATGAGTTCAGGTTTATACAATAAATCCCATTTTCCATATATTGCCTATTTTTTTTCTCACTTTCTGATTTAAATTCTTTTGTTGCTATAAGAAAAATACCTAAGTGAGTTTTGGGAGTGGGCCTTGAGTGTAAGGAAAGTCTTGTCTAGACTCTCAATGGGAGACTGATATCACTCTAGGAGGTGATTGGTAACAGCTTAAAGAGGTGAGGAAAATAGCAAGCTAAAACAAATGTAACTTCTACTGTGTAGTAAGGCGATTTGCATTAATACTGAGAAATGAATGTCTGTCACCAACTGGATGCTCTAGCTAAGGGGCTTTGTAAATATTGTCAAAAAAAACGCCTTCAGGATAGTAAAAGATGAGAGAGATGAGCAGGAGGAAAATTTATATACAGAGGCTTTGAGAGTTTGAACAATAAAACATTTCGTTCTTAGTGTGATGACTATACTTGGTTGTCAAGTGGACTACATCTGGAATTAATTCAAGCCCAAGCTTTTGGGTATACCCATAAGGGATTTTTCTTGATTGGATCATTTGAGGTGGGAAGAGCTACCTTCAGTCTGTGCCACACCCTTCTGGTGGCATCCTGTATGATACAGAAGAAAGAAGCATTGGCTTTTTACCTGCTTGTCAGTGCTCTTACTGTCAAGGGCATTCCTTCACTTGTGCTAGACTCTGCTTCTAAAGGATCCCCACATATACTGAAGACCAGATAAGTCATCCAGCCTCATGATGGACCGACCGGACAACTGTTGGGTTCTTGGACTTTCTGTCTGGAGACAGCCATTGTTGGAATAGTCAGACACAAACTGAAAGCCACTAATAAATCTCACATATCATTTTGTCAGTTGTTTCTGTAGAAAATGCTAATACACCTACTCTCTTCACATAGTAAACGATGCTCAAAGTAAGAAATGTCAGATGAAGCAAGTCTAGGAAAATGTAAAGGAAGTGTGAAGACTGCAGCTGATGGTATGCAGATTGTGTTTAGAACCAAGAGAGATTACAAATCCCTACTAAATGGCTAAAGTCTTAAAGGTTCAATCCCATAGCAGTTTCATATGGAAATCCAAGATAGAGGGCTGGTGAGGCGGCCTAGCAAGTAAAAGTGTTTGCCAACAAGCTGGCGACCTGATTTCACTGAGTTCAGTGCCTGGATCTTACATGGTGGAAGGAGACAGCTGGTTCCCACAAGTTGGCTCTGACCTTCAAGTGTATGTTGTGGCAGTCCTCACTCTCCTACTGAAGATGATGATGATGATGATGATTCGGCAGTCCTCACTCACTCTCTTACTAAAGATGATGATGATAAGAGCAACGACGATAGCAACAACAACAATAATAATACTTTTAAAGAAAATCCAAGACAGGCTGCCTGCACATGCCAGAGGCCGCTGTGGATGTAGATCTTGCTGATACAGTATATTATAAACTTGAAAGCCCCACTGAAGTTTTTTTTTTAAAGATTTTGTGTCAGTTTTGACAGAACTGAAACAATGCAAAAACTAAAACAGCTCACTGCTGTTAGGACTGTAAAAAGGGTAGAGCTACTATGAAACAGTGGCAGTGCCTCCTGAGTGTATGTGTAGCACTGTTGGACACAGCGGCTCCACTCCTAGTATATAGACCCTAGTAAAATGAAAATGTCTGCATTTGAATGCTCCAATCAGTGATATTTCTAAGATCCAAAAAGCTGAAACAGCCCAAATGCCATCCATGCAGGGTCATAGAGGAATAAAATGTGATATGGAGGTATAATGGAATATTGTTTAGCAGTAAACATGTAGTAGTGGTATTGCTTTTACATGGATGATCCTTGCAAAGGTTTTTCTCAGAAGCCGTCATACGATTTCATCTTCACATCATTTCCAATATACAGTATTCAAAGAAAGCAAATCTTTAGTGAAAAAATAAAAGATTAGGCTGGGTTATGATTGGTTTTCAAAATATGACCATAATTTTACTTTTCTCACTTGCCATCCAGAAGTAGAATTTAATTTGTCTCATTTGAAATGTGAGCAGACCTTAGGGACTTGCTTCTTACAAATCTAAAGGTTGTGTTAGAAGTAATGACCCATGGCTTTCAAGCTAAGTCATGGAGGTAATGTTCCTACCCTACTTTCTGTATTAGGATACTCACACTTAGAGCCAAGCAGCCACATGTCCAAGCTGACCGCCTGAAGGTCCTAGTCAACAACCAGCATCACTTGCAAAGATAGGGGAAAGTGGGCCTTTAGGTGATCTCTGCTGGTCTAACCGTGCTGCCACAGTGGTCATCAGAGGAAGCAAACACGGGCTAGGCTTAAATTATGATTGGTGAATGAAGTGTTTTATGTTGTTGTGTGGTGGCTTCATAGCAACAGAGAACCAGAGTAGGTTGTGATTATACTGTTGATTACCTATCAGGTCTGGTAGAAAAAAGGTTCAAAGTTTACATTGTCTTCTAGATTTGCTAGATCATTAGAAAGCAGGATCAGGTTACAGTGACCTCTTTTCCCTCTTTAGGTGAGTAACAACTTTCCAGTGTTTGGGTACCATCTTCTAGGATGCTGAATATGATACACTGTAGTCACTTTAGAGGTAATGGTGCCACAGATTTTTAAAAGATACTTCCTTGTGTATTTGTACATGTGCATATTCACGTTCATATGTATGAGGGTGTGTGTGTGTGTGTTTGTGCGTGCTCCCGCATGCAGGAATGCACATGTAGAAGCCCAAGGTAGCATTTGGGCGCCTTTCCTACTCTCTACTTTATTCACTGAAGTAGGATCTACCTGGCTACTTTAGCTAGCCAATTTGCCCTGGTGACTCCTAGTCTTTGCTTTCCCAGAGTTGGATTTAGGTAAGCCACCAAATCTACCCTGTATTTAATGGGTTCTGGAGATTCAAACTTTGGTCCTTATGCTTGTGCAGCAAGTATGTTAACCAGCCTGTCATCAGAGGAAAGGCTTATACAATCACAAGAAACCAGAGTATGAGTGTTTAGCTGTGGGTGTCTACTTCTCCTTCCATCAGGTACTGGATGAAGGCTCTAGGATGTATATAAGGTAGTCGTCAGTCTCATTACAGGGGAAGGACATTTAATGTAGCCTCTCCACTATTGCTTAGATTGTTAGTTGGGGTCATCCTTGTGTTGTGGATTTTTGTACAATTCCCTAGTGCCAGATTTCTCTTTAAAACTATAATGGCTCTTTTCTTGCTAACCTCTATTCTTCCCTAATTGAGTTGGTTCTTTATTTCATTAGAACTTGGAGTAATGATGGATTTCTAAGGCTGTTTTGATTTATTAGCTTCAATGAATGGAAGCTATGAACTATTTGAATGTATTGACACGTAGTTTGTACTGGAATAATGTAATGAATGGTTGATTCATTTCACCTTTATTCGTTTTCAGGCTGAGCTGATGTCTCACCTACTCCAAGATACACACACACACACACACACACACACACACACACACACACACACACACACACCCCCCCAAAGATTCAGTGTTAGGAAATGATTCAGTCCACTCTAGATACTTCCTCCCCCTGACCCACCCCCCTATGTTTAGCATCTCAAACTGGTGGAAGACCCCCAAAGCTTATCCTGCCTCTTGATGTGATCTCAGTATTTGGTAATTTCCAAGTGTCTGCCATAAGATGCATAATCCCTGTCTTGTATGCTTTCTGGCCAAACCCGCAGTGGGTATTTCCCCTCTCTAGATAGAAAAATCATCTAATACCTCCTACCTTCATCATAATGGGGGGTGGTTTTGTTTTTATGACACAACAATTCTGCAATTAGATGCTCTGAAGATATATAATAAACTCTCCTCCATAATGGTCACCCTTTCAAAAATCATGACTGAGAGACTGTTGGTAACAGCACTGAAGGGTGGTAGCAACACTAAGATCATTACTTTGAATGGGAAGAAGATGACAAAGATTCCCTCAGCACTAGAAAAGCTGTCTGGTCTGAAGACTCTAGACCTGCAAAATAATCTCATCTGCAAAGTGTGCCCAGAGCTAATCACCTTGACCCAGGTGAGGAAGCTCATGTCTTTGGGGTTGTGGATGGAAACTAGATGAAAGTGCTGAGTGGCAGAGTAATGGTACTTTGATCTCTGGAGACTTAGCTCTCTGGAGACAATATGGAGCGCCGTTGGAGAGGCATGAGTAGCCATTCTCGCTTAGGGCATTACACATGGCAGGAAAGATGTTGCAATTTACTCCTGTGCCCTTTGGCCCACATCTGGAACCAGAATTGGATCTTTGCTATGCTCATCTTCCTTCAGGCTGTCATCTGGAAAGAGGTTGGAAGCCTGGGTCTGGTGGTTTGTCTACCTTGGGGCTCACATCTGGAAGTAGGTTTTGGGGTTCCAGGCAAGACTGTGCCCATCCCCCTGCAGGGGCTATTCTGAAGTCTTTACATATGGAATTAAGGCACATTTAGCATGTTGTGGAGGGAGTTACTTTTTCATTTCCCAGAACTGGCTGGAACTTGAAGTGCAGGGCTGATAGGAATAGGAAGGAAAGGAATTTCTCTCCCCTAAAACAGCCCTTAGGAGTTGGTTAATATTTAAAATAAAGAATATCTTTCTTAAAGAGAAGCAGTTGACATGGATGAGTCCCAGATGCTTATGGTAAACGTTTCTTCCTGATAATGTCTGACTCCAGCTGCTGAAATGTTAAGGTTAAGGGAAGGCAAGTCATGCAGTTTTCTTCCTGTTGATTTCGTCATAGTCACCAACACTGAAAGAACCTATAAACTACTGTCATTGCAACCCCTGAAAGAGTAAATCTATCATCTACACACTACCTCCTTTACCCTTTATCAAACCATTTTTCCTTGTAATCTTAACTATATCCTGTGACGATATGGGATAGTTGTTAATAGTAGCTTCAGAAGGTGTAATTCTAGCTATAAGACAAGGAGTCCCATTTTTCTAATGGGACAGATGAGTTTCTGTGCAAAGAATCTAAGTTCTCACTAAAAATCATGAACTGATCTCTTTTTCCGCTTGAATTTCATTCTATTCAAATAGCTCTTCATGTTATAAGAAAACCATTGTTAAAAAGCTTATATTAAGCAATCTTCTGTGAAGGAAAACTATTGCTAAAAAGTTTATACTAAATAATCTTTTGTGACACTTTCAACCCCAGTTCTCACTTCCATATGTAATTACTCTCAATTTATTCTTTCTTGCAGATTCCAATTGCAAGTACATGCTATGCTTAGTCTCTGCAGTTATCTTTTCAAACTTAGTGTGATGATATATTTAGATCTTCCAGTAGCCAAGGCCTCACTCTGCTCCCCAGTGTGCAAACTGCCAATACCAACAAGTGGTGTTCATTCTGGCCTTGATCTGGTGGCTGCCTTACCACATTTTATACGTTTCATAACATTTACATCTTGTTCAGTTGTAACCAGGACCAAGCCTTTACTTTGTCTCTCAGAAAATTCCACAATGCACATTGTTAATGAGTGTTATCAGAGAATCTGTTAATATATTTTTGTTCCCTTGGGCTGTCTCATGTTTTTTTCTTTATACCTAGAAAAAATAGATCACATTTTTTTTATATTGCCATATTTAGTTTTTTAATTCTTGCATCTTTGCTATCATGGTTTCATTTTATTTCAAAGTGATGCTACAAATTTTCAGATGTACCTGTTCCCTGATATTTTTCTCTAGGAACCTCCTTTTCCTGCCCTTAATAAGCAAATTGTCCTCTGGTTTTGCTGGATGATGCCAGTCCAGGACATCCCTTATTGTTATCGTGAAGTAGACTCAGTTGTTTTCTATAGCCTGTATTTTCCTCCTCACTCTCCTCCCCTTCATCTTTTTTTTCTCCTTTTCCATCACGGTCTCTGCAGCCACCCATGGATTGCTAGAATTGTAACCATGTCCCTACATGACGAGCAGGTTATCGTTCTTTTTCAGTATAGTAAGTCCCCATGTATCATCCTAGTCTGGGTGTGTTGTGGTTAATACTTAGGTCCCTTGCAGTTCTGAAAATGTATTATATCTTCATATTTGAATAATAGTTGTATAGTAAAAAGTCACATATTACCAAATATACTTCCCCGGGAAAGAAACTAACAGAGCTAGCTAACATGACATTGTCTTTTTGTGGTACCTCTTATTGTTTTCTTATTTTTCTGTTAGGAAAGACTCTATTTTGATTTTTGGTACTCTCTTCAATTAGGGAACTGGCTTAGTTTATTGCTTAGTGATTGTGTTTGTTTGTTTGTTTTTGGAGATAGGGTTTTCCTGTATAGCTTTAGGGCCTGACCTGGAACTAGCTCTTGTAGACCCGGCTGGCCTTCAACTTACAGAGATCTGCTTGCCTCTACCTCCCAAGTACTAGAATTAAAGGCGTGTTCGACTACTACCCAGCAGTGCTTAGTGTTTTAAGAAGAAGCCATATTGTGCTTAAGTCAACTGACTTGACCCTGGGTTCTTGTGGTGTGTCCTTGGTGTGCTTTCTATGTGTTTCAGGTTAATGGCTTTACATCGTTTTGCTGTTCCATAAAATAGTGATGTTTATTACATAAGTTTGCGGACAAGGTGAGGCAATAAACAAAATCTATGTCTCCTTTGTAAGAGGAGCCATAGAAGCAAGCAAACTGTGCAAGAAACTTTCGGAGAATGTGTATATAGATGGCAATGTGTATATAGTGACAATAATGTTCACTTATTGTCACAGTTAATCGGACAGATGAGGGTAAGGGAAGAGTGAAGGGAGAGAGGAGAGAGATGCAGGGAGAGGGAAAGGAAGGGGGTGTGTGGGGGGGAGACTAAAGGAGAGAAAGACAGAGACAAAGCCCCATCAACTTTAGTGTAGAAATGGTGATTATCCAAAGATTTGTACATTTGTTTAGAAATGAAGGAGTGTTGCATAGGGAATACTTATGCCATAGTAAACTACTCAAAAAGGCTGAGGCAAGGGGAAGTAGCTTTTTTTTTTTTTTTTTTTTTTTTTGCTTTTGAAGTTAAACTGTTTCTCTCCTTTCCTCCGTCTAAATCCTCTCTTATTACCTACCTTGATCTCTTTATTTTATTTGTTACATGCTTATATGTATATGTGCATACATATATTCCTAAATAAAACTTCCAGCAAAAATAATGAAGATGTAAATTATTGTGATAAAACAATCCTTAGCTCTAGATACACGGGGGAGGGCCTAGGCCCTGCTCCAAATGACTTGACAGACTTTGATGATCCCTCATGGAAGGCCTCACCCTCCCTGGGGAATGAATGGGGGAATGGGATGAAGGGGTCGGTGGGGGGGGGCAGGGGAGGATGGAAGGGAGAGGGAACTGCTATTGCTATGTGAAATAAGATTGTTTCTAATTTAAATAAAATTTGTAAAAAATATAAAAAATTCTTGACTTAACAAAAAGGTGTGGTGTCCAAATTTGAACCAATTACTGAACAGATGTTCTTGGAGAAATACTGTTTATGTAAAGTTGTTAATGGCTTTTTTTGCAAGGTTCTGATTATAGTAGAATTTTCTGTTTCAAGTAAGCATACATGTACTGTATAATCCTGTACTATATAATCTTCAGGTAAAGGCTTTGAGTAGACAATTCTCAAAAGATATACACAGAGCTAAGCATGTCTGTGAAAATGTGTTGAATATTCTTATAATCAGGGAAATGCAAACCAAAGCCAAAATGAGATGTCAGTTACATGTGTTAGAATGAGCATAGTTAAGTGAAATGTGACAAGTGTTGGTGTGGATATGACGAAGAGGGTGTCTTTGTATGTAATGGGACTCTTATTTTGTATAGTCATTGTTGAAAATACTATAGTTTCCACAAGAAACAGTCCTACTCTGGGTCCATGTACAGAAGGAATGGCATTAATGACGAGAAGAGCCATGTGTGCAACATGTTTATTGTGGCATTATTCATGGCATCCAAAACACAAAAGCATCCGCAGTTTCTATTAATGTATGAATAAAGAAAAGATGTGTATATATTTACAACGAAAAGCCATCCTGCCTTAGAAAGGAAGGAGTCCTGCTACTTTGACAGTAAATGAACCCCATAGACATACTAAGTGAAATGACAACATCAAAAGATGTGTTACATAATAACTGGATGTTATGTAATTCTAGCACTTGGGAACTATAGATTTAGGAGAGTCCATGTTTAAAGTCATTCTCTGAAACAGCCAGTTCTAAGCTGGCCTGGGAGATGATAGATAGATAGATAGATAGATACATACATACATACATACATACATACATACATACATACATAATAGATACATAGATAGTAACACAGAATCTTTTCTAAAACAGCTTCCATCCTAGTCCCCAACCATATGATGCATAAGTCACTTTTTATGACATCTGGAAATGTAAAACTCATAGAGATAGAAGTGGGATGGTAGTTAAATGGGTTTGGGTGTGTGGGAAGAGATAATAGGAAGTAGATCAAAGGGGCAAATTTCTTATGTAATACAAACAAGTTCTAGAGATTTAACATGCAGTAATGTGCCTGCAGTTACTTGAGATCTAAGAGCAGATTTTTAACAGACAGATAAACACACACACACACAGACAGAGAAAGAGACACATAGACACACAGACACACACATACACACACACACACAGAGAGAAAGAGAGAGAGAGAACCAAATCCAGCTTTTATGCTTTAATTTTACGTTAATTCAGTAGATGGAATCCATTTCTTTGTAAATGTTAAAGCGTGCAACATAAAAGGTTCCTCTAAAGCAGTGGCCCCTTTGTTGGAACAGCCCTTTCACAGGGGTTGTGTATCACATATCCTGTGTATCAGATACTTACATTACTACTCAGTAGCAAAATTACAGTTAGGAAGGAGCAGTGGAATAACTTTGTGGTTGGGGGGTCACCATGGTATGAGGAATTATATGAAAAGGTTGTAGCATTAGGAAGGTTGAAAACCACTGCTGTAAAGGATTCCATTTCAGAAGTGTTTAAGTATCCAGTAGCTTCAATCAGACATTTTCCTTTTTAAAACTTACAGAACAGCCCGACTTTGTAAATTTGG